GAAAGCATACCCTCATCATCGTCATTATTATTGTTGCTGTGCGGTTCATGATGATGTTTTTTGTTGTTGGTTTTTTTTGTATATCAATTGACAAACACTGTAACTGTCATTGAAACTCAATTATTGAGGCAAAGGCACAAGCGTTAGCTTTGGTTAATAAGACGACCTACACACAAACACATGATTTCACATATGAAAATGACAACAGACACACAACTCAAACAAAAGCCCACACCTTCAAATCAATGTAACATCAGGGTAAATCAAACTGCTGCAGCATAAAGAAAAAAATGACATTGACTTAATTGATATTATGAGTCCGATGTTAATTACAAAACCCCACAAACACAGTGTTATTATCTTCTGGCCACTTGGGTGCATTTATCAGCCAGACAGTTAAAAAACAGTGCAGTATACTAAAACTAAAGTGTAAGAGAAGTGTATATGAATGTAAAATTGATGGTGAACAGGATAGTGGCTGAGAAAACTGATTTCAAGAACGTAGATGAATACTGAATGATTAACAATATCCTAAATAATTTCAGTGTTTCTGTCTCTGGCCTCTTGCCAAGACAGCAGATGTTTTAAAAAAAGGTATTGTTGGTTTTCAGTCATAAAATGCCAAAACACTGATTTGCAGCACTGCACTCCTCAGTAAAGTGGTTGAGGATACGTATGAAAATAATTGTTAAACCAATATACTTGAATGTGGGTAAAATCAACGCCCACATATTTATGTAAAAGCACTTGAATTAAGAAGATGTATCGTCCTGATCACTCAGAACAGGAAGATTAGAGTTTTACAAATCAAGTTGTGGAGACAGAGGAAACCCTTCATGTTGCACTGGTTCCTTCTCTACCTAGTTCCATTTATAGCCCGCTGATTTAGCCGACAGAGGGGATTACACACTGCTGTTAACAGTGCTCATGTCTCTTTAGCAATAGTTGGTGCCTGTTATATATATATATATATCTATACCCCCACCCCACCCCTGAGCCCTTGATCCCTGGGCTAATTCCATGAATCGTCCAAATCTAAATCCACTCATGCAGCAACAGCACACACAGTTGGAGAACGAGAGCAGGAGACAAATAGATTAGAGTTGAAAGACAGAAAGGAACTAATGCTGAGTTATTTAGAATATCTCCTTGACTATTTTGAGAGCAGATACACTATAGTGTCAATGTAGCCTTCATCAACAGTTGGGTTGTGTGCCCTTTGTGTGTCCTTTGAGTGTTTCCTTGCAGATGCACCAGCAACCCAGTGTGCCAACTCATCAGAGAGGACTGTCAAGCCTGGCTGACGTCACCCATCCAGCCTCTGTAATCGAAAGAGACGTTAATCCTGCTCCTCTCCAAAGCCCGGCAGTGGGGTGGGGTGGGACAGGGAGGGATATTGAGACGGAGACATGAGGAAGGAAGCTGGATGCAGGAGAGTAGGGAGTGCATGTAGGTTGTGGACAAGCGGGCAGACTCAGCAGTGAGACAGGTGCTGTCCTGACTGTCCAAAGGATAATCAGGAACGGCTCCTCCATCCCGATCCCCTGCTAAAGTTTTTGGGAAGCCCTGTGGGTTGAGGAACCCACCATCCAGGCTTCGCCCTGGAGGCCAAAAGCCTCAGTGAGGGCTCTGCAGAGGGGGAATGCTGCGGGAGCTGCTCATCTCCTTCTGCACCTCCACTGGAGTCACCTGCACTCTCTGTGGAGCAGCCGGGCTTCACCACTGTGGAGCTGTGCCAAGATGGAGAAGACTTCTTTCTGACTGCGCCTGAGGGGTAAGAGGCTGCTGAAGTGTGTGGGTATTATAGTGTACTATTTACCTTATGTACTCCCAGTGTATATTTGATTACTTTGATGGATCGGAAAATGTTTTGCGTCTGTACTCGTCTTTGTTGCCTCTTTTGGACCTTTTCCAGCACAAACACTGACCTTGTCAGGACCAGTAGACCTCATGGGGACCAAAGCTCAGTCTAAATGAGGCAAACATTTCTCAGGTCCTGATTAAGGTTTAGGGGTAAGTGAATTGTGGTTCAGTTAAGGTTAGGGTCATGGTTAAGGTAGAGGACAAGTTTTGCTTATGCTGCTCACACTTGTCTTTTCCTATGGGGACAAAAAAGTCCCCATGGTCTAACTCACATCATTATAAATTCAAGACATGTTTTAGAGTTAGGGTTAGACTAAGGTTAAATTAAGATTGAGTTAAGGTGAGGTTTAGGTTAGGATTAGGGCTAGGCAAGTAGTAACTCTGGTTATGGTTAGAGTAAGTCTCCAGGAAGTCAATGTGAGTCAATGTAATGCCATGGAGACACTGTGTTTGTGTGTGTGTGTCCGTAGTCATGAAGACAAGATCAGGCGTGGTCAAACAATAAAATGAGATACGTTAAATCCTCTGTTGAGCAATTAATGGATGGAGAACAAGATAAACAGAATAAACTAAAAAATGATAAGATCTCAGTTTAGAGCGAAGGTGTTATACAGAAAACGATCAGTTGTCCCGCTTAAATGCAATCGTGTGGTTTCTGTGTGTCGTCTTATCTTAGCATCAAGATTAAACAGTGTGAAAACTGAGAAACAAAAAGTGATGACAGTACATTGTCCTGGAAATGAGAGTGGAGAGTGCAAAAGAGTTCAACTTTAGTATTTCAACAGAGCGTGTGGGTTCTGTGTGTGTGTGCATTTAGGTATGTCAAATGCAACAACAAAGTTTTTGGATTTTCTTGATGTGTAGAAACAAGAAAACGTAATGGCTCAACAAGACCTCAGAATTTCTTCAGCGATGTTTCATTCAGTACTTGATGTAAGGGAAGTTCAAATGCAACATGACCTCTTGTTTTCTCAAGGCTCTTTACCTGCCAAAGTTACTCTTCTGGCTGACACTAATCTGAGGCCTCGATTTGACAAAATACTTTTACGAAGTTTAAGATCATTGCAGTAAAGGGAAATCTTGTCTTCTGATCATTTTCAGTGTTGTTTTGTTCCAGATGAGGCTTGTTGACAGTGTTGGATCTAGGATTTTTCTAAACGAGGGGCCAAAAAGGGGCCACAATTATACACAGAGGGGCCAATTATATGTTCAACATCCATTCACAGTTCCCTCAATGAGGTGCACATTCATTCCTTGCTTACTGTTAGCTCTATAGTTTTGAGCAAAGCCGAACTTTGATTTAGAAAACTTTTCCTCGCTCAAGCTTTTTCAAAAATAATATTTCTGAACA